AGTCATGCCAGCCATAAGGCCACGGAAGCATCATCTTTGAATAATGCTAGTTCCCTCAGCTAGGAAAGCACATGAGTACCATCCCCTAGAATCGGACATGACTAGTTGGGGGAAACATTCACCTTTTTAAGTTAGGCAGAATCCTTTCTGAGTTACTTCCTGGTCTGTTATGCAGTTGTGGGCTCCCATCCCCCACATCTGATACTCCCCCAGTCAACGTATCTTCCTCCATTTCCCAAAGTCATTCCCACATACCATTATACCTGTAGGTCCTCCTTTACCCCCATGGATCTTATTTTATGTGAAGATGGCCTTATAAGCCACCTGTTCTGACCAAGGCTTCCTGAGGCAATAACAATCACACACCTTTTTGTTTTATTTCAATGGCTGTGCATTTATATGCATTCACAGCACGTAATGAGTCCCAAACGGTTTATGAATAGTCCAACAGAAGTCTGCCACAGTTTTTTGGGATAAGCCTGATAAGCCTTTATCACCTTTATCACCCTTGAAATGCTGCCAACAATGAAATTGCCAATTAGCTGTACAAGGCCAAACGAAGCACAAAGCCAACACGGAGCTTCAGAGTTTTAATCAACCAGAACAAACAAAGTTGCTTCCTGCAAAGGCTCATGTCCCTTTCCTCCTCCTTTATGTCTTATGGGAGGGGCCAATCATCTCCAAGCCTTTCTCCCGAGTCACCCCTTTTAACTGTTCTTGCCATCTGGCAGCTCGTTGCAAGTACACACTGGGAACAGGCTCTCCCCTATTCCTCTGCCTCGCTGGTGTCAGATTCTGGAGGCTACAGAGTCAACACATAACTCTCAGATGGCCCTGGCCCCATCTCTGTGTTGGATGCAGATACCTCATCCAAGACCATCCCAGACTCCAGAAATGGCCCATGTTCCCCCCACTATCCGAATCTGCTGCCAGCTCCGCAGGCTGCTGGGGACCACAACACCACCATGGCACAGTGGTTAGAGTGCAGTACTGCAGGCTACTTCTGCTGACTGCCTGCAATTTGGCAGTTTGAATCTCACCAGGCTCAAGGCTGACTCCGCCTTCCATCCTTCGGAGGTCAGTAAAATGAGGAGCCAAATTGTTGGGGGAAACCTGACTCTGTAAACTACTTAGAGAGGGCTGTACAGCACTGAAACTGGTATATAAGTGCTATTGCTATTTATCAATAATAGTCTGAAACCAACCTTCCAGCAATACAATCGCTAGATCCCTGGACAGAAACTGATCCAAAGTAAAAACCTGCATTAAATACTGTAGTGGCATTCTTCCTCTTACTGTCTTCCTCTCTGTGAAAATGCCTCCTAGTCTCCAACCAATCTTCCCGTGTCTCTCCCATCCAGTTCCACAGCTGTGCCAATTCCACCAAGTCAATCCTGCCCATCCTGTTTACTTTGAAAGCAGCTTCAGGGTTATCAGGGATATCATAAAATGAATATCTGGGCACAGAAAATCAATGGCACTAAAGACCTATACACCTTAATGTCATAGACCAGGGGTGTGTCAAACTCACAGCTGGATGCATCACTTACTGGCCTCATGCCCCGTTTAATTTAGCAAAGGGGGGGAAAGTCAAGATACATCATGTGACGCCTCTGTGATGACGTGAGTTTGACACCCCTGTCATAGACCAACTGAATTTAGCCATGCTTAACACCTTTGAGATTTTATCCAACAATCCGCTTAAGTTTGTAATAGAAGAGGTAGCACTGAAATTAGTCTTGGTTAGTTTACTGTTTGATAATCCTAAACTCAGTCCTGCTTTTAGAATTAATATGCATATCTATTTGCTTAAAATGCCCTAAAGTACCTTAACAATAATTTGGGTAATAACAAAAACATATTACAGCTTGTTAAGCGATTGTAAGTAACAAGAAAAATGTTTTAAAACCTCTTGTCAAACTCCAACTAACAGTGATTACTTTGGTGTTGTGTAGATTTTGATGCACAGATGGACTTTAGAGCTGGCAGTTAGGCAAGATTAATTCAAAGACAACAGGGCTTCTAAACTCAGACTGCCTGCCTTGAGTTGCTCAAGCCGTTTCATGCTGCCTATCACAATTTCGATGAATCAGAAATCTTTTGCTCTGATACTTATTATTTACAAATCTCCAAAAATGAAGAATAGAGCATGGGTAATTAAAAAAAAAAACTTTTTGTGTGGGTCATTGATGATCACATTTCTGGCAGGTGTGAAACAATTCTGCTTTAAGAAAAATACAGCAATATAGGTAGGCCTTGACTTGCAACATTCATTGAGTGATAGTTCAAAGTTAGAACACGCTGGAAAAGGTGACTTATAACCGGTATTCACACCGCTTTACAATCGTTGCAGCATTCCCACGATCATAGGATAAAAAATTTGGGTGCTTAGCAACCGGTATGCATCGATGATGGACGCACTGCTTTGGGATCATCTGATTGCCAGTCAACTTCCAAAAGCAAAACCAATTAGGAAAGCCAAATTAGCTTAATAACTGTGTTATTCACTGTTAAGTTATTCACTTAACAACCGTGGCAAACAGGTTATAAAATTGGGTATGATTCGCTTAATAATAACCTTGGTTAACAATGGAAATTCTGGTCTCAGTTGGGGTGGTACGTGGAGGACTAATTGTATATGGTAGGGGATTCAGAAAACCCGATTTTCCTGTTTAGGTAATAAGGACACCGCACAACGTCATCCTCGTGCAAATAAGAAGACCAACTCTTTCTATTCCTTGATTTTAGAACTAACGGAGAAAAGGATTTTCACCATGAAAAACCACTAAATAGGCACTCTGATCTTGTATTTCTTGTCAAAGAGAAGGATTATCTTTTTTTCCTGAAACGAGTACTGTTGCCACAAATTGCAAATACATGCTGAAGTCTTCTGCGTGGCTTGGACAATTGAAGGCGACGTCATGGTTTATTCTTATTTTATGATTTTTTGGCTTCTTCAGAAAGAAAATGAACCTCCAGTTCAGACATAATATTATACAAGCCATGGGCAGATGGTGCACTGTTTGCTTAATTGCTTCAACTGGCAGGAAGAGCCAAATAAAAGTGATTAAAGTACTGCAGCCCTAAGTTCCTTTCCTTATCGCGTCCAAGGTGAACTATAGGAAATACCCTTTCATCAAAGAGTCAACTAGGGCACCTTTATTGCTTTCCGTAGCTATCATAGTACAGGTGTTCATCCAACTGAACACTTAAAAGTACCTGTGGAATGTAAGCAGGCCCTGAGCCAAAAGAAAGGCATGAGGAATTTGAAACCTGTCTGAATGCCTCCTGGGGCATTATATAATTAAGCAAAAAAAATGATTTGTGTTAATTGCATAAGCCTTAAATTTAGGGTGATGCCCTGACACAAAATGTCCACAGGATGAAATAAAGTCTAGGTAAGGAATTTGGTATTCAGAAGAAGGCAAGAAACAACATGGAATAACAGTATCATTAAGACATCTTAATGTCACATCTTAAGGAACAACTCACAAGACTAGTTTGAACTGAACTCTATTTCTTCCCCAAAGTTTAATTCACCACCACCAGAGTAGCACATACTCAAGAGGAATGTTTTGGTAAAGTCTGACATGGGAATATAGAATAGTCCTTGATTACTAGACAATAGCAATAGCATTTAGGCTTATATACTGCCTCATAGCTCTTTACGGCAGTCTCTGGGCAGTTTACAATGTCAGCCTATTGCCCCCAACAATTTGGGTCCTCATTTTACTGACCTCGGAAGGATGGAAGGCTGAGTCAACCTTGAGCCCTGTCAGAATCGAACTCCAGGCTGTGGGCAGTTTGCCTGCAATAATGCACTTTAACCACTGTGCCACCAGACAGTCACCCAACTTTAAATAAAATTGATATGCCAAGCAAATGATCCTCTGTTATATGTAAGGAATGTTACAGAGGATTACTCTGCTCCTCCTTCCCCCGAGGTGAATAACCATTCTTCTAAACCAGGCTGCTGAATATCAAATTGCACATGATGCTGTAATTCTATAATGGGGACCAAGGATAGCATAGCACAGCATAGCAATCTGAATAACTTTTTAGTTCCTCTTCCCCCTTTAACTATGTTTGTTTGTAGTTCCAGATTCCTTATTCATACAAATGCCAAAGTATAATGGAACTCAATTATTGCTATATATATTTGTTTGCTTATTAAGTCTGTATAGCTGCCCATCTTAAGTTTGTATACGCCATTTATCTTATATAGATAAATATAGGCCATATAAATATATACCATAAAAATATATACCATGTAGGTCTTTATCTTAAAGCAAAAGCTGGAAAATACAATAACACCTTCTGACACAGGATGCATCAACTTCTTAGGGTATTATTTATGTTAAGATACTTTTTCCCAAGTAATGGCAAAAATTAAAGAATGAGGGGGAACAGGATGGGAGAGTTTAATTAAAGATACCAAAATCTTTTAGTGAACTAGTTTTTTTGATATCAAAATTTTCTGGGAAAATTTAAAGACTGGTTCTTTTCTAAACAAACATTACAAAAATGGCAAAAGACCTCCGACTGATGTCGAAATACAAAATTACAAGCAGGGCGGATTCATTATACAATACACAAAATTGTGGTGTTAAGACCGAACCTTGCATGTAATAACATTTCAGATATGATCTATCAACTGAAGGACATCTTAGACATTGAGACTTATAGCTAATTATGTGTATGCAAAGTTTCATTCAAGCAATAATTTATTGTTCGTCTCCTACACCGCTCATTTCTTCTCCTGGAGAAGATGTGGGTAAACTGGCCAGGCCAGAAGAAATTTTCCATCAGGCAACTGAAGCACTAATTGGACATCAATTGGATGTTTATTGACTCATCATTACTGAAGTACTGGAGTTGAAATATTCTAAAGATCATACAGAAGTAGCTACAATTAAATCCAAGTTTCTTTCAAAAGTGGTGCTATGCTGGTTCTTAAAAACAAAATGTTTATAACAAACATTGCTTGTTTTTTTTCTTACCATCGTGGCCAGAGTTGAGAAGATGTTCTCCAAGATCACAGCCAAATACCCTCTCCTTTAAGATCCCACGCTGTTTCAGTTTCTGCTTTGTTGGTCGAGACTTCATGAATGTACGCAAGAAAGTAATAAGCTTGCCGTGTTTTTTAGACACTGTCAGATTGAAACAGAAAATTCATTTTAGGGGAAGATAATTGCAAAGATGTTTTATTAATATGGGTCCAGTCAATAAGAAGCAGCCCTGTTGTTCTACTGGCAGTTTAAAACAACCATCTCTTTTTCCCTTTTCCACTATCATTAAAAATAACTAAAGGTGAAGTAGAATCTGTAACAAGAGATTTATTTAAAATAAAAACCTCAGAGAAGCTTCAAATTCCATATACTTGTAAAAGCAGTAGGCAACTGACAGGGAAGGAAAGACAGCATAAAAAGAGGCGATGTAGATCCCTATTTTGTCCCATAGTTTTCCTATTTACTTTCAGAAATCCAGAACTAAGCACTGGGTTAACCATTTATGAAGGGAAATGACACGCTCCATTCCTCTATGTTCAGCTATACCACAGGACTTACATTGTTCCCCGGCCTGCATCCAAATCCATTTTCCCCCAACAGGATTAAAAACTTCTCAGCCTCTTCTGAGAAACCACAAACATTTAACTTTGGAATGAATTAAAGGGCTGGTAAGCTTCTACAATGCTGCTTATTTTATTTATTCATTTATGGTTCTTCCATAATGCAAGAGTCAACAAAAAAATGAATCCTGGCCATTTACAGTACTTACATTACTGACTGATGGATAAGCAATTGATGGCTACGTTTGCACAATCCATTTACCAATTAAACAAACTATTACATCTGGGTTTCTTGGGTTTACATGACACATTAAATACACAAGAGTTCCCACAACATAACTCCCAACTAAAATGAGTTGACTAGTTTGTGCAAACACAGCTGGTATATTTTGATTTGCTTTTTGCTTGGTTGTTAGCACGGATATATTCTTCAGAATCTTTGGTATTTTTAATATATACAATTAGATCATTTGAAGTTCAGGCACCCGATGAGAGAACAGGACTGATTAGAGCCAGGTGAATATCTGGCCCTCCCATTTTTGAACCCATCATTGTTGGTTCGATGGCTGTCCTTTAATGACAGGGAGTATACAAACACACACACATCCTACATACTCTCTTTCCGTTGATATGTTTATACCATAGGGAATTGGAGAAAGTTGTACATTACATTTAATTACTTTTCAATTAGTACTCAGCTATTATAACATTTTATTACTGGGTGATTCACTTGTTTTGGTTTTTTATTTTATTTCTATATTCCTCTTGATACAATTTTGATGCTATATGCCTCCCTTTTAAGGAAGTATGAAGCACAAGCTTCAACAGGAAATAATCTCATAACTTTGATGCTGATATTGAAAAAAAAAGATATTATCCTGGACAGCTGTTGTTTTATTTCCACTACGACAATAAAATAGATAGCCAGCAAAGGTAGTAATATATATATCTATATGGAAAATTGCTCCTGGAATCAGGAATCAGTCAGAAACTCAAGAGCATTTTCTATTTCTTCAGGATTATTAATTGTGTGTTAGTGAGTGGGATCTTTAAAAGCGTAAACCTTGAGTGTTCATACACCAAGTACAGTAGTACTTTGATAGTCAATTGCTTTAAAACTCATCAAATTTGGTCTTCAATGCATTTTGACATGAAAATTTTGTCCTGGTAGTCATTGTTTGTTTGATACTCAACGCACAATCTAGAAATTGTCAATGTTGGCTGTCATATGACTCACTATATTATTCCTTATGGGGGGACATTTTTTGATACTCATCATTTATGGTATTCTTTGCACCTGCTGATTAATGATGAGTATCAAGGTATCACTGTATCGTCATAACCCACAAATATGCAAGTAATATATGGCTACAAAATGAGAAAATAATACATTTTAAAAGCAACTGGCCTATAAAAGAGACCAATTCCCTTTGTTTGGAAGCAAATCTCTAGGGATATTTTACTGAAATAAAAGCCAAAATATGAAGCAAATGGTCTAAGGATTTCCTATGTCTCCAACTTTTTAGTATCAGGAAGTTATCAAGGTTTAACTGTTTTATGAGTAATTAGGTTACTTGAGCTTGTCCTCCTTCAAGGCAAAAAAAGGAGAAAATCAGTCACTCTTGAAACAGGTTGTTGCAGCAATCAAACTATAGCAGAGATTGGTTGAGGGCAGGAAAGTATCCTGAATTAATTTCAAAGTAATTACACAGCGTGCTATTTTATATAACTGAACCCTGGGTAAAAACATAGACAATTCTGAGGCAAAAACATTTGTATTAGGTAACAGGGTGGTTAAACAGATTTTCAATTTGTTAAAGGGGGGGGAGGGGGAATCACAATCATGCAAATGTTTGTGAAAAGTGCCACTGATAGGCACGCAATGTCAGTGTAAACTCAAGGGAAGTGATTGATGACCAAGGACATGGGGTTCCTTCCTTTCCTTCCGTATTCAGGATAAAGTTCAAGTCCTTAGCATTTCCCCATGTTCCTTGTTTTTATCAGCTCCCGTTTTTTAACATCTCAGCATAAGCTAGAACCACGGTAGATATTTTTATTATGGCAAAAAATTGCAAAAGGAATATGGGGCAAACGTGACGGCCTTTGTTAAAACGCCAGGGTGCTTACAGAAACACTTTGGAGAATATAAAATACGCCATTACACAGAGAAAAGGTATGTGGATGAAATTCAGCTCTCCTTGCTTAATTCAGAATAAGCTTCTCTTTGTAGTTTTTGCTGATATTCACTTAGGAACATCACAAAAAATTCAAATTTGATCACACCCTCTGGTTTCATGAATACACTGGATTGAATTACTTTCAGTCAGTATGGTGGTTTGCTGAGAGCTCATTTTCCTGATCTTGACTTGTAGACCAGGGCGTAGTAAAAAACAATGTTTAAATGGTGGCCCCGTCAATGCAATTGAAGTTCATCCATTCTTTATTTGCGTCCTCGCCGAGATCCCTGGAAGGGACAGCGCTGACATGGTACTTTCATTCTTGGCACCGGATGAGAGAATGTGGACGGAGCTTTTCTGCCTCTCTTTGAACTTGCTGTTTAATCTCACTAACTAATTGCATGGAAAATGAAAAGATTATTAATAGAACTGTCCAAGAGAATAATCTGACAACCTACAAGAAAGCTTAACTACAGTTTAATAATAATGCTTTTCTAAAACAAAAGTCTGGGAGGTTTCTTATTATATATTCTCTTAAATTAGGGGACTGTATTCAATTTAAGCTATAGTTTAAGGCAAGAAACAACTGCTTCAGTCATAGTCTGGATGTTACAGGGACTGCATCTAAAACAGTTCTAAACAACAGAACAGAACAGAACAGAATAGAATAAAGAATTGGAAGGAATCTTGGAGGTCTTCTAGTCCAACCCCCTGCTTAGGCAGGAAACGCTATACCATTTCAGTCAAATGGTTATCCAATCCCTTCTCAAAAACTTCCAGTATTGGAGAATTACAACTTCTGGAGGCAAGTTGTTCCACTGATTAATTGTTCCAACTGTGTCAGGAAATTTCTCCTTAATTCTAGGTTGCTTCTCTCCTTGATTCATTTCCATCCATTGCTTCTTGTCCTGCCCTCAGGGACTTTGGAGAATAGCTTGACCCCCACTTCCTTGGGGCAGCCCAAGATTTTCAATGAGAGTAGTAATTAATAATTTCTCTTCACTGTTCACCATATTGAACCTTTATTAATGGAATGGATTTTGTAACAACGGAGCACAATAGCCTTCAAGGACAAAAGAACCTCGCTAAATGAGAATCATGACTGTATTCTTTGAGATTTGGCTGACTACAGGCATTACCTTTAGTCTAGACATTTTATGACCATGACAAAGGCAGAACAAACAGAAAACATGAAGGTTCATCCATTCCTTCAAAAGGGGCATTTTGAAAAAGTAGCTTTGCTATCTTTTTCTTAGAATTAAACTTCAACATATTTGCTCTTGCGGAAGCTGAAAAATTGGGAGTCTGGTAGCACCTTGCCTGACTAATAAATTTTATTGAAAGGCACATCCTTGTGTGAACTGCATTTATGCCGTGCAATAAAATTAATCAGAAACAGGTGCTACCAGACTTCTGATTTTCGGAACTTACAGGATATCACTTGGCAAACAAAAGTAGGTGTGGACTAATGGAATTTATTATTTTTCTACCCTGAGGAGTTCAAAATCCTATTCAGGGACTTTGCCATCAATAAAAAACTGTACAGGTATTTTATCTTTATAAGAGAACATTTCTGATTTTAAAGTTTTATTTACAATTCATTGAAATATGCCCTGCCCAAATTAGTTTGGGAACAAAATAAAACAGAATATCTTATAATAATAATAATAATAATAATAATAATAATAATAATAATAATAATCAATGCCTATTAAGTCTAGATATTTAGATCAATCTACATCACACATTTCGGTCTGATGAATTGATAATGCCTTCTACAATGTAAAAAGATTGAGATGAGTTACTTGGGATTAGTAAATAAATTAGACTTATTTGAGATGACTTGTAAATATTGCAGGTACTGGATGAAACCCCAGAGAAAGAAAGCGAGACACTGAAGTAAAGCGTTCATCTTGGCTTAAAAAGCAAGGGACTATGGATGTAGCTGGATCTCTGTTGAACAAAAGCATCTTTTTCTTTTTTTTTATAAATTTTATTGAATTTACAATTAAAAAATAACATAACAACATTACATATGCAACAGAGAGAGAAAAAGAAGAAAGAAAGAAGAGAAAGAGAGAGGAAAAGAAAAAGAAAAAAAAACGCTCGGTCTTGCGACCGAAAAAGGAGAAAAAGAAGTATAAAACAGAGAAAAAAAACAAAGAGACGGAAGAAAAAAGAAAATACGTTAAAACCAAACAGATATTCTTTTTGACAGTCTGCAAGATCCAATTCTCCTACCTTACTTTAAATATACACATCTTATCACTATTTATGCTTAAATTACCCATTATTCATTGAACAGTTTATCTCTGATATAACCAATTATACCACGCATTCCAATTATTATCAAATGCTGAAGCATCTTTTTCAAGGGCGTGACAATCTTTAAATGTTCAGACTA